CTCCCGTGCCAAGTTAGGGTCCGTGCCCCCTCGTTCTCCCCCGCCACATCTTTGATGATAAGATTATATTAAGGGAGGCTGCCTTTTTGCCCCCTTGGACACGGTACCCCTGACGTACTCCCATCTGTGCCCCGTCTACAATGACTCTGTGCACTCCCGCCTCAAGGGCTACGCGTGGCTCCTACCATCCCTAATACCACACCCCAAGCCTCTCAGATGTACCAGACATTGTCGAGTCTTACTACTGCCCGCGCCCTCGCGGACGCCCTCCAGGCTTGTCTTCTACTCGTGGCCCACCAGGGCCCTTCTCTGCACCCTCACCCGCACTGGGGCCTATCTCTGTACTCTTGCCCACACTGGGGCCTATCTCTGTCTATGCGCCCTTTCTGGGCTTCCAGTCTGCTTGCCCTCCCCGGGGCGTCTCTCGTGCTCGCCCTCCCTGGGCTCCGCCCGCACTGGGGCCTATCTCTGTGCTTGGGGCTTAGGTGGCCGTAGCCGTGCTTGCCCCCTAAATCCCCGCCACGGATCTACTACTCCTGTGAGCTCAGGCAGCCTCGGCCTTACCTGGCCCCAATCCACTATGCCCCTTACCTGGCCCCTGCGACATCTAGGAAAATATTTTACTTTTTTTTGAGACACATTTGTCCACTTTGGTATTTCTTACTCTACCTTACTCAAGCTTAAAATTTCTTATTAGAACTTCTTGGAGTCACCTAGGAGTTTTTCAGATTGTTCATTAGGATCAAGGAACAAATGCTTCTGCATTTAACACAATAGAAATGTGGGTTTTATGGAGGGCTTCCTATCCACAGCCTTTAGATAACATGATTAGTTCTTCTAAGAATGTGCACCCATTGTTATTTAAAATTGCTTGATAGTTTTGCATTTTCTTTTGATAGTTTTAATTTTTAAGAAATTATTGCTGCCCAGATTCTGCTGTCATTGCTCATCTTGAATAATACTTCCTCTACAAGTTGTTGTATTGCAGAAATGGGGCTCACCATGCAGTGTATTACTCGGTGGGGATATGGGTAGCAGAAAAAGAAAAGGGTGAATACTAACAGATGCTTATTCTTCCTCCATCTCTTCAGAGGTTTTTACAGATAAAAACACTATTGAAAATGTAGTATTGACATTTTTTATTTATATACATGGCACCTATCATAAATGCCTTCCATGGTTTGTGTTGCAGCTTTAAAAGGTATATTATTCTAATACTATATACCTGAATTTGAGTGAATTAATGCCAATTTACAATCTGCTCACTTTGGTTAGAGGTTGTTACCTTTCAGAGAACCCCTCTGTGTATCAAATGATAAGCTTAAGTCATCTATTCTTGCTTTACATTTGGGCCATGAATTATCTACCAGGGGTGTCTGCATTAAAACTTGGACTCTGCATTATTACTTGTGAGGCACTTGGACAACATGGGGTAAAAGCTAGTTTTTGAGCTGACCTTTACACTTTCATTCCCACTACTGGGAACATGTTCAGGTGACCTCTGTCCTTTGATGGGGTCTTCAGAAGGGGCAATTCCCTATGTTTGAGCCCAATCAGGCTATTGTATTGAGGAGGTTCTTTCCTTCCCAAGAAGTTTGCTTGTACTATTAAGCTATGGATCAGATCAGTGAGAGTAGGTGACCCTTTGGTTCTGCTGCAGTTGTGTGCTATTATCTGGGGTGGCTATAGCTAGAAAGGAAACCAGTTCTGATACAGTTATCTTCTACAAGCTGTCTTTTTTTTATGGGCTCTGATAATAAAATATCTTGTGTATTGCAGTAGAACCTGGATCAAATTAATGAATCTAGGTGGTTTGCAACCCACTTCATTTGCGGTAGGCTTGTCAAATTAAGGATGAGTGGTCCAGCTATTTGCAGTAGGGTTTTTTTCCCCAAAGGGAGCCACTTCTTCCCTGAGCTGGACCTTATCAGTGATACTGCACAACTTGAACAGAGAAGTGGTTTCCTTTGAACTAAAGGTTTCAGCAAACAGCTAGAGCACCTCAGCAGTCCCTGCATCGTGTTTTTTGCAGCTCTGTTCACCCTTTTTTAGGTGTCAGTGAGGGGAGAAATTGCCTGTTGCCCATGGGTTAGTAGTAGAAGGGTTAGAGATGGATATCAGGCCTAGCTATGATTCTGCACATTAGGACACTGTCTCCTATGTGACACACAGTGGTGTAGATAAGAGACTGACTTCTGCTGTCTGCTGTCATTCAAGTGCCAGGGGTTAGGTTAAAATGGCTTATGCTCCAACATGTACCATTCCCACTGGTTGCAGTAACTAGTTTCAGGGACAGTTTGTTTGTCTTTGGGATGACACCTAGAGATAGTAAGTGAGGACAGGGTCAGGCTAATGCCACCTGCTACTGCAGAGGGTCAGCAGTAAACAGGTGCTGGAGAGACTCTACTGAAGTTCACTCAGGCAATAAGAGGGAAGCCTTAGGCCATCCTCAGACGTGCAAAATAAAGAGAGTTGAGAGAGAAATGGAACAAATTGTTAATTGGTGGGGATGGAGAAAAGGTGAGAGAGAAAAATGAAGTAAGAGGTAGGGTCTAAGAACAATCATGGAAGTAAAGAAGAGATGTTGGAGCAAAAATCAGGAAGGGTCAGAAATATAAGGAGAGTGGCAGTAGTTATACCAAGGGGATGCTGAAACAAGGAAGAGCCAGGGCAGAAAAACATTAATGGAGGAATTTATGTAAATGGAGAAGGCAAGCTGGGGAAGGAAGGAGAGAAGGTCTGGAGGGGATGTTGCAGTGAAGGCCATTCCAGGGATATGAGGAACTACAGGAGACAAAAAGCAAGAAGTCCACAGTCTGTATATCCTAGTAGAGCTCAGCCAATATGTTTCAAGCTTTAATGAGTAATAGAGTGAAGTCAACTTACCAGATTGCATGTTTTCTCATGGTGACATGGGGTTAGTTGTTATCTTGGGTGTACTCTGATGCTGCACTTCATGCTTCCTCTTCCCCGCCTTCCCCAAAGAAAAGAAGAAAGTGTAAGCAACATCATTTCTTCCAGGTGATAGACAGAAACCAGCTCACACTGGCTCGCAAGCTCTACCTTAGTGAAAAGGCCTGGACCAAAGTTCTCAAACATTTTGTACTACTCCTGGCTTCAGAGGTATGGCCCTACTGTGCTGTATGACAGCAAAGAGGAGAATGTTTGGATAATCTGAATGCATGTATGGATTAGTGTCTTACTGTTTCAGTTATTACTTGAACTTTAAAAGCTTGGTCCAGTTTGATGGTTTGAATAAGTCTGGACTTCCTCTCCCATACTGTTATGTCTTTCTTCCCTCTGACTTCCTTTCTCTGGTCTCACACTCTCCTAACCTTTTTTATTTCCTTTTTCTCATAGCTTTTCTGGATTAATTCATTCTCTTCCTTTTTCCATAACTACACCAAATCAGTGCTACTGCAGTTCTGTTTCCAGCAGTGCTGGCCTGATACATTCTCCATCTAATGCTTGACTACAAGCACCCAAGTTAGGTGCTGAGCTCAGGCAGGTGCACCATAATCCTATCACATCTAATGAAAAGCTAAACTTGCAGAGCTGTTGTGCTGTGCATTGTGAAATTGAAGAAGTCGTCTACCTGGCAATTTGTGAAGTGTAGGTACTTCAAAAAGCTGGAAGCATGGGGAAGTGGTTGTGATTATTTTGATCCAAATCAAAAGATAGATCTCTTCCTTATTGTTCTCCTTTTTTTATGCATACAGGATGTGGCAGATCTTTCCAATTTGCAGGAAGAGACATTAGAATTCAGGGAACTATTGGGTCACATTGATGAAAAAGTGAGACATGTTGAAGACTCCACTAGGGAGAAACTGAGACTTGTTCAGAAGGGCCTTTTCAAGTGGCTGCAGTACTTCCAGGAAAATGCTTTGTGAGTGTCCAGGAGTGAATAACTTGAACCATAGTGTGCAGAGCCGACCCTAGGGGTGTGCAGGACCCACGGCGTATCGGCCTATGCAGGGTAGGGAGGTAGTGAGCAGCCAGAGCAGGGTGGGCAGGGTAGCGAGTGGTTGGGGTGGTGAGTAGCTAGCAGCATGCAGTGGCTGTGCAGAGTAGTGGCAGCCTCAACAGGGTTTGTACAGCACTGTCTGCGGGGCTTGGGGCAGTCACCCTGATTTCCCTGCCCCCATACATGCTTACCCCCTTGTCCCCTCTCTACCTCTCCCTCCCATCAGTAGTATCTTTACTCTGTATAGGCCATGTGTTTTATAATCATAATCAGTGTTGGCTTCATTTAGTCAGCTTTTATAGCTAGTTTCCATTATTGGGCACATACTGCTTTTGGTAGTAGTTTAATGATGGACAGTGTATTTAGTGAGGTTTCCTTGTATGCAAATGTAAGTTAAGGCGCTTCTCCCCCATGTTGATTGGTCTTGGTCTTATATTTAAGTATTTACAGTATTTATGGGGGAAGTATTTTGTCTCTTTAACATGCAATTGTAACAATGATTAAATATCCAATATTATTTTCCTTCAGTTCTGGTCTCTGCTTAAAGTGACCTTTTATCATAGATGAGGCACCAAATGCTCTTGTGATTCAAATGAAGGAATATAAATCATTTGGTGGGTAGAGCCATACAGACATTTCCTGTAGCATAATGGCATTCATTTTAAGTACAGCTTATATATATCCTATGGTAATCTTAAGTTTACTTTTGGTTTTAGATTGCTCATTGAGGGGAGTATGTTTTCTCTCCCATCTTATCCCTTCTTTCTCACTTCCTCTTTCTGCCCTCATAGTGGGAAAGCAGGTTTCTCTCAGATGAAGGAAGATGTAGTAGAGGGAGTGCTACAAGACCTCAAGAACTTTGGAAATGTAAGACTTTCTGATCAACAGCTACAGTAATAATAATTCCTTTTAAATTCTATGAATGCTCAGATGGATACAAGTCACTCAACAGTAAAGCAGTTCTCTCATTTGTTTTGATAGTTGCCATGTTTGTGACAGCTTTATCTGCTGGGTTTCCCTAATGTTTCTCATTAGGTTTCCACCTCTTTTCTGTTAAATCCCAGGGGATGGTTGAGCTAGCTGAGTGTTTTTTTTTCTGTGGTGACATGCTCATTCCATTTCTTTCAGATGTTGAATGAGGACCTGGAGCAATTTGGAGGGGATGCACTCCTAGCGAGTAAGGAGACTTTCAAGACTGCTGCCAGGCTGCAGAAACATTGGACAGAGCTGGGACAAGCAATGCTCTGTCGCCACAAAGATGTTAATGGGCTGATGCCTCCAGAGTTCACTGTCATGGAAGAAATAAACAGAAGTGCAACTAAGCTCTGCCAGCAATATAATATAAGGATAAATGGGGAGAATGGTAAGACAAAGTCTTCTTCCTCACAAGAGGAAACTACATAGTCAACTCCCATTAGAAAATGAGAGAGAGAAGGAGAAACCTGGGGATAAGTGTAAAAGGATAACCCTGCATCTCATAAAACTTTAGGACAGGGCCTTCATGCTATAGTGCCTGGGTGTCTCAGTGTTCTCTTCAGGAAGCCCAAAGTTAGTTCAACTATTGTTGGGTCTTCCCTTTAAAGGGAAATAATAAAATCAGACATATTGGCAGCAATAAAGGCAACCTTTCAAAACTAAACCAGAATTATTAGCCAGCTGGGATACAGTATAGAGTGTGGCCAATCTTAAGAAATAGGGGTAATCACCAAGTGTACCATATTTTCTTGAAATTCACATTGTCTCTCTCTCAATCCCTCTTAGTCCTGTTGCTGGACTGCATCTCACAGTTCCTTAGGAATTTTATTTTGTGCATATGTGCATTTTGAAACATATGGGATCAAGCCTTTCTGAAACGGGGTATATAATTAAAGTTCTTAATTTAAGAATGTTGTAAGAATCCATTAAGTTCCTTTTTAAAACCAAAGAGCTGACACTATAGTGGCCTTCACTTCAAACACAGGCGTGCGTTACTGCCTAAAAAAATTATGTACAAGTCAAGTTTGGATGGAGAAATTTGGTGGAGATGTACGTCTGAGAAAAGCAGGGCAAAGACTAGAGGAACTAAGAAAATGCATCAAGGAGGTACCACACACAACCGGGGGCATTTGTACATGTCATGATCTTTCCTGTTTACCCTGCCGCAATTGCATTTGTGTTTGCACAAGTGGGATTTTCCACTGCTTTAATAGTCTTTTCAACACGTTACATTAATGCTGCTCAGACATGTTTTATTTAGCGTTGCCACCGCTTACTGCACCCTATTTATGGAGTCTTGTTGTGCAAACATAAGCAACTCAAAGACTTGTAATTACTTTCATTCACCATCGGGTGGCACTGTGCTAGTTCTGTAGTTCAGGCCTTTGTCCAGGAGTACTAGGAGCATGACTAAGGAAAAAAGCTAAGTGTGAGAGAGAATTTGGGTTGACTGCTGGCTAGAGAGCAGTGTGAAGCTGTGAGCAGTGAAAATGTCTCCTACTGTTTGACTTTTGTGTGTGTGCGTTTAGGGATCTAGTACTTTATACATTCTTAGTAAAGTGAACAGGATTGCATTAACAATATCTGACTCCATCATCAGCTTCTCTTCCTAATGGAAACGGCTCATAGAACCCCAAGCTTTGACTAATCACTCAGATCAACTCCCCAGTCTATTATGAAATAACGTATGTGCTGAGAAAGGACAGATCTGTCTTGACATTATTTCAAACTAATGCACAGCTGCTAATTCTTGTAGCATTGAACAGTTGTGCTATGCTGGAAAGTCAGTATATCAGGCAAATTCCACTGACTTTCCCGAACTTTAGTAAGCCCTGGATCCAGTCCTTATTAAGTGATTCATCTTCAAAACCAGACTACCAACTTACTGCATGGTGTATTCATTTCTCTTGTCTTGTTTCTGCAGCTCTCCTTGCATGGAGTGCAGACATACATTTAACACTTCCTCTTTTCCCTCCTGCAGGTGTAACTAAGATTTTGATGGGGTTGGTGAGCAGTTTGGAAGATTGGTTGTTCAAGCAGCTAACCTGCAAGCGGGCATCTGATATACGTGAATCTGATTGGTTGAAATTATATCAAGTAATTCCAGAGTGGCTGTCCCAGGTGGATGCACTGATGACCGTTATAGGTTCCAGTCAGTCTCACGAGGATCAGAAGAATAAAAAGCCGCATGTTCCGTAAGACAGGCTCTTGCCAGTGTTGTCCATTCCTCCCTCTGGGGCTATCCTGACATAACTTTCTCTTCTCATGTTTGTGGTGGAAACTGTCTGGCACAGGGTAATAGGATGCAGAACCTTTCACCTCTAGGTCATTACTTGAACTCTGGTCGAGGTGGGTAGTGACTGAAAGTCTTTCTCTCCTATTTGGTAATATCTGTGAAAAGCATTAGTTGGCTTCTTCCAAGTTCCTAACACGCAGTGTGTTCTCTTGGCTGGCACCCTCCATTGATAGTCTCTATGTGTAGAGGTCAAAAACTGAATGGTGTTCAGAGACTGAATCTTGCCTTCCCTCTAGTAATGACTCTTCAGGTCAGGAAAGAAGTACAATGCTAGGGCAGTGTGAAGAATCTTGTTGCTCAGACTTTATCTGTTCTATGGATAAAAAGAGGAGTTTGGGCCTTAGCTGGTCAGTTTGGCACCAAACATACATGGTAAAATTACACAAGTCTTGCTGTTTCTGTTGTATTAATTTAAGCAGAAGATGAAAAAGATGTGAAAAACAAATAGTGACGCTGCATAATTTCTTAATCTTCTAAGTTAAGGATATCTATAGTTTTACCATCTCATTGCATCCAAGAGTGCTGAGGGAGTTGGTTGATGTGACTGCAGAGCTGCTGGTCATTATCTTTGAAAACTTGTGGCAGTTGGGGGAAGTCCCAGATGATTTAAGAAGGGCAAATATAGTGCCTGTCTTTAAGAAAGGGAAGGAGGAGGATCCAGGGAACTACAGACCAGTCAGCTTCACCTCAGTCCCCAGAAAAATCATGGAGTAGGTCCTTAAAGAATCCATTTCTAAGCACTTGGAAGAGAAGAAGGTGATTAGGAACAGTGAGCGTTGATTCACCAAGGGCAAGTCATGCCTGACCAACCAACCTAATTGCCTTCTATGATGAGATGACTGGCTCTGTGAATGTGAGGAGACTACTGGATGTGGTATACCTTGACTTTAGCAAGGCTTCTGATACTGTGTCCCACAGCATTCTTGCAAGCAAGCTGAGAAAATATGGGTTGGATGAATGGACTTCAAAGTGGATAGAAAGCTGGTTGCATTGTCAGGCTAAATGGGTAGTAATCTGTGCCTCATTGTCTAGCTGGCAGACAGTATCAAGTGGAGTGCCCCAGGGGTTGGTCTTAGGGCCAGTTTTGTTCAGTATCTTCAACAACAACCTGGAAGATGGCATAGAGTGCACTCTCGGCAAGTTTACAGATTACACCAAGCTGGGAGGAGTAGTAGCTATGCTGGAGGGTAGGGGTAGGATTCAAAGTGACCTAGACAAATTGGAGGATTGGGCCAAAAGAAATCTCATGAGTTTCAACAAGGACAAGTGCAAAGTCCTGCACTTAGGACAGAAGAATCTCATGCACAGGTACAGCCTGGGGACTGACTGGCTATGCAGAAGCTCGGCAAAAAAGGACCTG